CTCTATATATAACTCTATATATAACTCTATATATAACTCAATATATAACTCTATATATAACTCTATATATAACTCTATATATAACTCTATATATAACTCTATATATAACTCTATATATAACTCTATATAACTCTATATAACTCTATATAATAAAATAAATAAAAATAAAAAAATGAGATCAGGCAGACTGCTTCATGCGAGGCAGAATGCCTGATCTGATTTTCACGTTTTCTCAGCTCCTATTTATACTCGTTTCAACCATACACTTTCACCATTTCAATCATTCACATCAGTAAAAAACTTATTTAATGTATGTACTACAGTATTATACAGTCTTAACCACAATGCCAACCGTACTAAATTGACGTCATCGAACGAACGCCTTCGAAATTTTCTGATTGGCTGGTTGAATCTGCTATATTGCTTTTTATATAAAACATATAATCTTATTAATTATTTGTATACATGGATTCTAGTTACTTTATATATATATATATATATATATATATATATATATATAAATTCATTATAATTGCAACAGTAATCAATGCTACATATGTACGCCGCAGTTCAAAATTTTCGGGGAGAATTCAAAATAGTTTGAGATCACACCTTGCTTAACATCCGATTTCAAGCCGATTCCAAGCATAGATTTATTAGCGCTTTTATAATAAAATTATGCTCGCTTTATATATATATAGTATATAAATTCCTTATAAACGCAACAGTCGTAATCAGTGCTACATATGTGCGCAAATTTTTCTGGGAGAATTTCAAATAGTTTAAGACCACACCTTGCTTAACATCCAATTCCAAGCCGAGTCGAGCCAAGCTGAGCCAATATGCGTAGAGTTATAAGCGCTTTTATATTAAAATTTTGCTCGCTTTATATAGACTATATAGTATATAAATTCATTATAAACGCAACAGTAATCAGTGCTACATATGTGCGCACGCAGTTCAAATTTTTCTGCAAGTATTCCAAATAGTTTGAGACCACACCTTGCTTAACATCCAATTCCGTGCCAGCCGAGCCAAACCGAGCCAAGCTGAGCTAATATGCATAGATTTATAAGCGCTTTTATATTAAAATTTTGCTCGCTTTGTATATATATAGTATATAAATTCATTATAAACGCAACAGTAATCAGTGCTACATATGTGCGCACGCAGTTCAAATTTATAATTTATTATAAATTTTATTTGATGTTTTTTAATTAGTCAGGTCACAATCATCATCATCATCGTTATCGCAATGAAATCAAATTGAGAATTTTTTACATTAAAAAAAGTATCTTTATTTATTTTATGATACTATTTTGTTCAATAAGATACTGTTTGATACATATAACTAGAATAAATATAACGGCCTTCGCTCACTTTCAACGGTTGAACAAGGAGCTTACTTCTGGAGGGGAGATGGAGGGTGAGGTTCGAGTCAAAAGTTACGATAGTATATTTACTAATTACGGAATATTGCTTTTATTTAAAATGTTAAAATTTTATTTTTTTAAATTGTTATTCAATATGGTAATTAATTACTTTTATTTGGTATAAATTTAAACAAATAAAATCGACATTACCGAAAATAATTAAAAGTTGCAAAAATTGAGATTCTTTGCATATCCCTGCTTCAACCCATAAGAAAGTGTTGTTTAATGGTAAATAGGCCTCCCCTTGGTTTGTAATGTAAGAAATCTTTTGCAATGCACGTACTATTGACAACCACGGATATATATCCATGTGACAACTTGTTTTAATTTATTACTGTTGTAATTTCTTTGTTTAGTGTTTACATAGAAAGTTTCTCTCGTTGACTTTTTATCGCTCGTTGTAGTTGCGGTGTTGGTTTCGTGAATTTTAGTTAGTAAATCGTCGTTGTTTATCAAAATGGCGGAAATTGAAATTCATAATGAAGATGAATTTGAAGTGGATGATGAAGCTGACAGTTAGTAAATTGATTTTTTAATTCTTAAATAATTTTTTTGGTTTCTATTCTTTTCATTTCAAAAATTCAAATTCAACAATTATTCAGATTTAAAAAATAAAAAATTATGTTTTCATTAGATAGAGTCAAAAATCATAGTATAGTAGTTAATAATAATAATTTAATTTAATTAATTCTTTTAATTTTAATAATAAAAAAAGGTTTTTATTTATATTATATAAAATTATAATATAATAATTTAGTTTTTTGTACTAAAATTTTATAAATTAATTTACAATTAAAAATTTCAAAATGTTATTATGTCATCAGAGGGCATTCAAAAGTTGAAAGAGGGGGCCAAAAGAAGAAAAGGGAGAGGTTTTGGAACAGGTTGCAAATTAGTTATTTGTTTAATAATTTAAAGAAGAGATAAACATTTTATTTAATATTTAAAAATTTGTTATTAATTTTAATTATACTTCAAATATTTATTATTATATTAATTATTTCCAATAATACTTTTCAAAAATTAAAATATGCACTCTGTGATTGTATTATGTTTTGATTATTAGACAATTCCTTGTTTTTTTTTTAATAATATTTTTTAAAATTTCCTCAGTTTTGTTAATTTTATTTAAAATTTTTAGAGACCAGAGGAAATGTTGATGAATATGAATCAATGGAAGTTGAAGATATGAGCAAAGAAAATGGTCCACAAAGATGTATGTGAATATGAAGACAGTACAGTTTTTGTGTTCATTTAATATATTTTTTCGATTAATTTCTAGGTTTTATTTTAATCTTTTTTTATTTTTATATCGTTTGGTCATTGATATTTATTGTTGAAAAATCAATTCCTACTTAAATCTTATGAACATACAACATGTTTTTACAAAAACAGCTGTTGAAGGCTGGATTGTGTTTGTAACAAACATACATGAAGAGACACAGGAAGATGATGTCCGTGAAAAGTTTGAGGAATTTGGCGAAATAAAGAACTTGCATCTAAACCTCGACCGTAGAACTGGCTTCCTGAAGGGGTATGCACTTGTTGAGTACAACACATACAAGGAGGCTGAGGCTGCCATCCAAACATTAAATGGCACTGACATATGCGGTCAGAAGATCAATGTTGATTGGACGTTTGTCAAGGGACCCAATAAGAAACGAAGGTTTGATGTTATCGCATGTTGACATACACAAATTAAGATTTTATTGTTAGTATTAGGAAAGATTATTATTGAAGCTTATATTATTTAAATATTGATGTTGAAACTTTGACTGTTAAGTTGTAAAATATAAAATGAACAGTGATGGTCGCAGAGGACAGAAAGGAGGTCAGAGGAGAAGTCCATCTCCACATCGCAGACGACATTAGCAGCAGACAGGCTCCTGACGCATATTTGTCGTTGTATCATATTGTGCAAACTGCTTACAAATTTACTTCTACATTAATCAATTTTTCGTTTTAAATAAATTTGTGAGTGACAGTAATTTTGTATGTAGGCTTGGTTGTGAGAATTTTGACATTCTGAACTGAGTAGTTTTTGTTTTGTAATAAAATCTTTAAAGTTTACTTACAGCGAGTTGTTACAGTTGTAAACTATATACATACATGTAAAACTTTCCATCGTTTATAAACGCCCGACATAACTGAACCGTTCTTTTTCGATACGTTCAAACCGTCTCTTCAAAAAGCATATTTTATTCTATATGTACATGAAAAGCGTCAATGTACATAAATGCGTATGAATGAATAATAGTCGGTCGGTTATCTGTCGAGTTGTCAGCACATCCCTCTTTCGTCCTCAGCATCTCTGACTCACTTTTGAACAATCTCAACTATTTCGTTTACTTACTTGGGAACTTTTCTCTGAATTTTTACTTTTGCGGTCCACGTTTTTTTTTCTAAAAAAAAGATTTAAATTACTACTAGATAAGTTTTTAAATTTTAATAGAATTTAACTTGAAAAATTATTAAATTTCACAAAAGTAGTTGAAAATTAATTAAATAATAATATAGTATAGAGTAGAGTGTGTCTGTGTGTGTTGTTTTTTTTTGACATTTTGATTGAGTGAAGCAACATTTTTATATTTTGTTTTGCATCTTGCATTTGGATTAAATTTCGAGATAGAAAATAAATACACTGCTGTAAGAATTTGTGATCAATGCCTTTTACATTTGGACTGAAGAAAGCATGCCGTTACCAAGTGTCATCTCAGAACATGTACCTGATCAGAGTGCAGATGCCTGACTTTACTCAAGTCGAATGCACGCTCTTCCTTGAAAACACTGGCAGTGACTGCTTGGCGATTGTTGCCAGCAGGATCAATCTCAACCAGGTTTGCTACAAGACAAGTGAATGTTCACCATCTTCATTGTTTTGAATTTCTAAAATAGATTTGTTTGTTAAAGAAAAATGTGTTCCAACAGTTATTTTAATTTATTCAATAATAGAAAAAATTTAATTTTTCATAGTGGTGTTATTTTTATAACTTCAAAAGTATATTTTCAACATTTATTACTTTTTCAAGCCCGAGTTTTTTTCTCTGGCATATTGCTCCTGCCAGAACAAACCAGTACAAAAGTGTAAGTCACCCACATCAACTCTGCTGCCCAATGATGAAGACCAACAAATTGGAACCTGCCTCCACAGCCATCACGACAACGTCAACAAAATCAACAAATCCCTCAATTCAGGGTTCTGCTTTTTCTGGTTGGACATGGACAAACCTATTCGTAAGCAGCTGGCAAAAAGTTACAACATCTCCCCATCTGCCATACTCCAGTTGCAACTCTGCCTCATGTATTACGTCGATGATGTCAGTCTGATACATGACGATGTTGCCAGGTTTGTTTTACCATGCCTCACATTATTGGGACTATAATAAAGTTTGCTCTGTTTTATGATTGCAAAGGATAAATGTGATAACATCATTTATGAAGTTAATAACAATGAGGATACTACTGATAATAATGATCCAACAGACATTTGTACTACCATCACTTGAAGCATGATATGTCAAATGCAGATGTCAATGACTCAGATGATAATAGCACTCAGCAACTATCTCTTTTACTCTCTGCATATGCCATACAAGGTAGGTTTTTAACAGATGTGTGTGTGTTTGTGTATGTGTGTGTGTGTTAATGTCTTTGAAGGAGTGTATATATATGTGTGTGTGTGAATGTTTTTGGTACATTTGCCTCTAAGTAAATGATACATATATGGGTATTAAGTATTTAGTGTGGAGGTTTTTGGAGTTATATTGGCTGTATGTATGTACGTATGTTTAAGTTGTGTGTGTGTATGTGTGTGTGTGTGTGTGTGTGTGTGTGTGTGTGTGTGTGTGTGTGTGTGTGTTTATGTGTTTATTTGTCAGTGGCATGGCATATCACAAAAGTGTTGAATGTTTGAATGTTTACCTAGCAATGTGTAAATAAATGCTATTTCAAGATAAATGATGTTTTTTTGCTAGATGTTAAAATGAGATAGCCAATAATTATGTTAGGTTTGTTTAACTCTGAGAATGTTTAAAACATGACAGTTTTTTTTCTCCTGGCATGTTCATTGTATTTGTCTGTTTGTACTATGCCTTGTTTGTATACTTTTGCTTGCGAATGTATATTTTATACACGCACACACACACAAACACACACATGCTCGCACGCACACACACAAACATACAGACACACATGTATGATGAATGCCTATCTCTTTTTGAATTTAATATTAAAATAATATTATTATAATTAGTGTTATTTTGACTTTTCATTTTTCTGATGCTTTCTAACCAAGGAGTCAAGGTAATGTTTTTAAAGTAAGTTAAATTAATTTCCTACTGATTTTCTGTAGAATTTTTATTATTATCCTTTTCATTACTTCCATTATTATTTTTATTAAATTATTATTTTAGAGCGCCAGAGAGCTTTGAAAATTTTCCTTTTTTAAAATTTAAAAAAAAATAAATTCTAGAAGTCTGGGTGTGATGTTTGTGTTACCTGGGTAGATATTTATTTTTATAGTGGATCTCTTTTTTATATTTTATGTTTTAACTTGATTTATAATTTTATATACTTTATTATGAACTGCTATTTTTAAGTTTTGCACGTTTATCTTAATTAATTCTTTATTTCCAGAGTGGTTTCACCAGCTACAAATGTAATGATGAGTAGGTGGGGGTGTTTGGAAGTTATGTTTTTTTCAATGTTAAACATTCATTCATTCATGTAGAATGTTTTTTGTTGGCATATCATCTGTCATTAAACTGCAGCATGGTGGCACACATATAGGGGCATACACACATACACACAACACGACACACACAAAATGAGAGAGAGAGAAAGAGAGAGGAAGAGAGAAACTGACTCACACACACCACACGCACGCACGCACTCACATACACATACATACACACACACAAATACACACCCATGCATATCTGGTATGTTGTTGATTAATCTATAAGAACATTGTGGAGAACATTATTATTATGCCATCTTCATTGCATTACATATCTATCAGTATTGTGTTAAATAAAACTATGTTTACATGTTGTTTTCATCTGATCCTTCATTCTTGTTTGTTCTTTATTTCATTCATTCTTTCATTTATTTTTCTTGATTCTTTAATTTTTCATTCGTTCGTTCGTTCGTTCGTTCATTCGTTCATTCGTTCGTTCATTCATTCATTTGTCGTCATCATTGTTATTAATATTACTGTACTTTTCACTGGCCAATATGTTAATTTAGTAACTGTACTGCTATTTGAATGATCAGGCAGGGACAATAAGCAAGATGCAAACATATGCAACATATTTTAGAGACATGGAGAAGAACTTTGTTGCTAGGCACATTGTCAGAGTCAGAGTCATTGATTAGACAGCTCAGATAGATGGATAATTGGATAGATATATAGATGAATAGATGGATGGATGGATGGATGGATGGATGGATGGATGGATGGATGGATGGATGGATGGATGGATGGATGGGTGGATGGGTGGATGGGTGGATAGACAGATAGATAGATACATCTTAGATACCCTGTTTAGACAGCTTGCTGCTTACATAGCCTGACTATGAATACTCATCAACATTCTTATTAAAATGTGTATGGTGATAATGGTGATAATGGTGATATTGATGATGAAACCTTATATGCCTGTATTTCTATAAAAGATAATTCAGTATTATTTTATTCTTTGATAAACATTTGGTTGCAACATCATTCTCCAGTGCAGTGCATATCTGAGTGGGTAGGTTCAACTGTTCATAATTGGCACACTTGAGTTACAACAGAGTGTGTGAAGTAATAGTATACTACTAAATTGTACTGCTAGTAGATGCCACGAATATACATTTGTATATTTACTTGTATGTATATGTAATTTTTATATGTGTATGTGTGCGTATCTATGTGTGTATATTTGTACATGTGTGTGTATCTTTATGTATGTCTATACGTGTATGTGTGTGTGTGTGTGTGTGTGTGTGTGTGTGTGTGTGCTTACATGCATCATTCAGCACTGTTGAACTACAGTTTGTTTATGGAGTGCTGTAAAGTTGCCTGCCTGATAAGTTTCATACATATTTCAGTTTGATTAACATGCCAGTACTTGTTTGTCTCAGGCCATTTGCCTGTTGAAATGTATTTGTGTGAGCGCGCGCGCGTGTTTATAAGTGTATGCATGTGTGTTTGTGTGTACGTGCATATGTGTGTGTGTGTGTGAATATACATTTGGGTAGATATGGGTGTGTTTATGTGCGGTTTTTCATATATTTTTTATGTGTATATTTGTGGCTGTCTGATATAAATTGATAACTTTGATGTATCTGTCATAAATGTCTCTCATTTGAAATTTAATGTCTTGTTTGTTTGTTTATATATTTGTTGAATTAGCTTAGAAAATAAACAGTTTTCTTTATAAGTTTAGTCAAAGATTTTATTAAAATAATTTAATGCTGTCGCAGTAAAATAAAACACCACATTGTAGTATAAATCTTACATCTCTGTGCTGCACATTATTAGAATTCTGGCTGATGTTGATCAAGTTTGAGTTGCTACTTTTATTTTAATATTTCAAAATAATAAACACAAGTTTAATATTTTAAAATAATAAACATATTAATACAAAATTCAGGAAACTAATTATTGTTTTAATTTTTCCAGCTGAGATTGGAGATTGTGATG